TTTCAACTCAGTATAGCGTGCACTTTCATGTGTGTTTAATTCGCCAATTAGTCTCAATGACTTCACGTGTTTTTAAAAGGATCTTTGAGAAGATATCAGCTTTTAAAGGTCTAAAGTGAGATAAACCTTTGGATATTAATTTCAGTTACTGGCTGGCCATGGAATCCGTGCCTGCAGCACTTTAGTGCCAGCAGGCATTTCAAGTTTACAGCAGGGTTTCATATGGGACTTGATGACCTTCACAAACTGCATCAGAGGAGGCCTGACTCCAGCTGCAGAGACATTTCAAATTCAGCCATGTTCTGTGTCTGAGACATTTACTCTTACACGGAGTAAGGGGCCCACGGTTTCTGTGGTTACATGGACCTTTGAAATGTTCAGGTCTTAAAAACTAGTGCAAGATGTTGTTTTTTTAAATTGAGAGTGTTGAATGTGTGTTGAGGGCTTGATAAAATGCAGTGCCTGCAGTTATGAATACTATAGCAGATTATTTCACTGATCTTTACGTACAAAACCAAGTGCATCATTACTACTATGCGGTGTGTTTTCATGTCCCTTTCATATATTGGATAAAATGATATATTCACAATGCTGTTTCTACTTTTTTTAAACAAATAAATGGAGCCATCTTTTTTAATTTTATACATGCGCACACACACACACATACGATAAACATGCACACACACACACACACACACACACACACACACACAGACAGAGAGAGAGAGTCCTTGTCAAAACTTTGGAAGCATTATGATTTTTAAATGTTTTTAATGAAGTCTCTTATGTTCATCAAGGCTGCATTTATTTGATAAAATACAGTAAATTTAACAGAAATATTATTACAATTCAATTAAACAAAAATATATATTTTCTATTTGAATATATTTTACTATTCAAATAGAAAATAGTTAATAGTTAATTAGCTCAGTTAATTCACATTTAATATAATGTAGTATATTCCTGTGGCAAAGCTAAATGTTCAGCATCATGTCTCCAGTCTTCAGTGTCACATGATCCTTCAGAAATCATTCTAATATGCTGATTTATATATATCATATTAGGAATTTTGTAAATAATTGTAAATAATTAAATAAAAAAAGTTATAATGAATAAAGTGCCTAAGCTGGAAAATAGAAACAATATATATTATAATAGAAATATTTCCAAACAATTACAAAGCAAACATATTTATTATGTATAGTCCTAATACACTGCATAACGGGAATGATTACCAGATTACTAACTTAACAGCAAGACTAAGTGAGGAGTAACACCTCACCTGAAGCAAAACTCCTGTGAGAAAGTATTTGTATATTTGAGTTTTCTCTCTCTCAGCTTACAAAGTGCTCAAGTTAAGCTTTTGCTGCCATCCGGCAAACATGCAGCTCCGTTTGAAGCTTTATTGGAAAGGTATGCTTGTTCCCTCAAGTATAGTTTTACACACACACACAGCGTGTGCCGGCGTGTGCAGCAGATCTTTCAGGAAAGAAAAAACAGATGTGGCCTCTTGTCTCTGTTAGCCACATCTCTCTTCAGGCCAATATACATTTCCAACTGACTGCTTTTAAGAAAGTGACCTATTAAGCTGACAGATATATTTTTCAAACATTGTTCGGACTTGTCAAAAGATTTCCACGAGGGAGAGTAATTTGTTTGTGAACAGTTTATTAGCAGCAGCGGTAACATTTCCTCTCAGAACGTCTATTGCTTTCAGTGTATGAATATGACGATCCATGCTGATGGATCTTATGGAGCAGTGAAGGACGCAGATAAAAGAATGTCAGAATGAAACAAAGCTAAGTGAGTGAATCCAGCCACAGGGTCAACTCCAGTGAGTCACGCTGCCCTCTGCTGGCAAACACTTCATGTGTTTCATGTGTTTCATGTGTTCACTTCATGTGTTCAGGCCAAGAAATACAGCACAGTAAGAGTAAAAATAGTGTGAATCACATCTATTCTGGAAGTGTAGCTAAACCGGGGTATATTCTAGTCTTAATCTTACACACACTAAAACTTTTGAACAGTAGTGTAATATTACACTACTGTATCACACTACCGTTCAAGTGTTTTGGTCTGTGAGTTTTCTTTTGCTTTTCTTTTTAAGTACGGTAATTGCGTTTATTCAGCAAGGATGCTTTACATTTTTCAAAGGTGACAGTAAAAATGTGAATAATGCAACAATATTTTCCCACAACATTTTAAGCAGCGCAACCACTTTTCGACATTGATAAAACAAAAAAAAATGTTTCTTGAGCACTAAATTAACATGATTTCTGAAGGCTCATGTGACACTGAAGATTGGAATAATGGCTGCTGAAAATTTATCTTTTTCATAACAGTAATAAATTACATTTTGATATATATTAAAATAGAAATATATATATATATATATATATATATACAACAATTAGCATTTTTACTTTTTCTGTTTTCATTCATTTTCATCATAATGTGTCTTTGTTAATAGAAATTAAATCAAATAGAATAAAATAAAATAAAATAAAATAAAATAAAATAAAATAAAGAGACTTCTTATTCAGAAAGACACATGCTGTTTTTAATATCAGCATAGGTAATTGTATTTTATAATAAACAAGAATGACTTTTTCTTTGCTAATATTTGTGACCCTGGACCACAAAACCAGTCTTAAGTCGCTGGGGTATATTTGTAGCAATAGCCAAAAATACATTATATGGGTCAAAATGATTGATTTTTCTTTTATGCCAAAAATCATTAGGATATTAAGTAAAGATCATGTTCCATGAAGATATTTTGTAAATTTCCTACTGTAAATATATTAAAACTTAATTTTTGATCAGTAATATGCATTGTTAAGAACTTAATTTGGACAACTTTAAAGGCGATTTTCTCAATATTTTGATTTATTTGCACCCTCAGATTCCAGATATTCAAATTGTTGCATCTCAGCCAAATATTGTCCTATCCTAACAAACCATACATCAATGGAAAGCGTATGTATTCAGCTTTCAGATGATGTATAAATTTAAAACATTGACCCTTATGACTGGTTTTGTGGTCCAGGGTCACATTTATATTTTTTGACACGTGTGATGTACACCCTCAGAACAAAAGTTACAAAAGCAGTCACTGGGGTGGCACCTTTTCAAAAGGTACGCTTTTGTACCTTTTAGGTGCTAATATGTACACTTTAGGTACTAATATGTACTTTTAAGGTGCCAATATGAGCTCTTTAGGTACAAAGGTGTACCTTTTGAAAGGGGTACCGCCCCAGTGAGAGTTTTTGTACCTTTTTTTCTGAGAGTGTACCTTCCCTGTTGTGTCTCCACCTATAGCATCTGTATCTTGTTTGGGGTATAATCATTTCACAGTCCCCTCCACAAGCACTCCATGCTCCATACATATATGCATAAAACTCCCTGAATCTTTAATACATGAGCACCATTAATCTCCGTACCATCTTTAAAAGCAGAATGAAACTTTCATTTGTATTTTTCTTTGCTATGTGTCCGTTGAGCCCCCAGCCTACTCAACTGCTTAAATATTAATCAGTGCTGAATCACATATTGTGGAGTGACTCTCACTCTCTCTCGTTCTCTCTCTCTTTATTTGCACATCCGTCTCTAGCAGTTTTACACTAAACACAGCAACAAGCACCATCCCCCCCTTCTCTCGTTTGATGATTTAACATGGGTGACGGAGCGCTTACTGTTATTTTACCATGTAGGATCACCGTTCTTGTTCATCCTAGACCTGCATTCCTATCAACAAACCTAGCTTTTAGGGTTTGGTTTAGAGTTTAGTTTTAAGCTAAAGACTCAGGTTGAACTGTATCAACTTACAATTTCCCTCCGATCTGTGGTATAGTTATTAGGTTTAGGGATAGGGTAAATGTTTATTTAACAGTAATATTGTTTGAAGAACATGTCCTACTTGGTAACCACAAAGAGCTACAGCTCATGATACACTGTAAAAAAATATTTTTCAAAGTTGTAAATAAAGATTATTAGAGTATGTTTCACACACACACACACACACACACACACACGCACGCACGCACACGCACACACACAATATTATGTCGTTCTGGTTCAAAATTTCACGTTTAATAAAATGTGTTACTTGCCATTTCTTTGTAATTTCTGAAATTTACTAGCAATATCTGGGTGAAAATTGTTTCCAAGTAAATCCTACACCATTTTTTTTTGTCTGTACTTTTCAAATATGTTACATATCTGGACAAAAGTAAAAACGTGCCGGTCATTTTAAAGAATGATAAATTAATCAATTCTAATATACCATTATAGAAAATAAATAATTTAGGTAATAATAAATAAAAAATTTTTGAGTGGAAGTTACACTGCAAAATGTAAGTTTTAACAGAAAATTAATGTAAACCATGCTAAACTCTGCATTTTAAGTAATGCTAAACTGTGCATTTTAAAATGTCATAAATTTTTGTAAAACAACTTTTTAGAATTAAAAACCTTATTTTTGAATAATTTTTAGGCTATATTTACGGAAAAATGTAAAAAGTATGAATCGTCAATCTCAGAATTTCCAGCACGAATTGTTTAGATTTATCATCATATCTTAAGATACAAACAGATTTTAATAGCTCAAATTGGTCAGAAGATGTTCTAAATTAAATTTACAAACACTTACAATTCTTCTTTTAAATGTATAACTAAATGTAGCCTAATGTTATAATTTAATGACGATATACCGTAAAATACCAACTTCATACCGTAATACTTTACCGTATATTTTACGGTAAAGTTCTGGTAAGTGCTGTCATTTAGTTTTTACGGTAAATTTACTAACAATTTTACATTTACAGAGCTTAGTTTAGAAACAGCAACATTTTAACATGTCACACAGCCACACAACGGTGCAATTGTGATTTTTTTTTTTTTATCTAATGCGAGCTGTAATTAAGTTTAATTTTATCTAATGGCCGTCTTAATGGGCATATCTCCAAAGTTTCAGCGTGCAGGTCCAGGCGGTCCCTCTCGCCGAGCAGCTCCGCCCCGCAGTCGAGGACAGACAGCGAAGAGACGGAGACATGTGCTGAGAGAGAGACAGGGCTTCTGTGGAGGTAGGACAGCTCGTCTGTTGGAAGGAAAGACAGAAAATGTCATTTCACACTCGTGAGAGCGACGGTCTGTGAGGAGCAGCAAGTTGTGAACGCAGAAGCGACATTTAAAGCGTCAACTTTGCGCGTGATGCGGCGTGCGTGGGTTCGGCATCGCGTCTGTGAGCGCGGCTCGAACCCGCAACCGAGATAACTTTCACACGGCAATTCGACACGGAAGTGCCGGCTACTTTGTCCTCTCATTGACTGGTGATAAAGAAGACCGACTCGCTTCAGGTGGCTTCGGAGAGAGGAGACGCACGGACCACGCGCATGTGTGGAGTACCAGCAGGATTTTAGAGCGCGCACGTTCGCCTGAATGGATGGTAACTATCTGGCCACTTTTTACGAGTCTGAGAAAAGTTTTTGAAAGCCACTGGAAGGAAGAATGGATGTGAAAAGCAAGCGGTATTGTAGTTTGACATGCAGCGCTTCTCTTTCTCCGATCGTCATGGAAACATCTCAAGCTGTGGAGGTCGAGATGCTGGATGGATCCTCCGTGAGAAGTTCATTCGCTGAGCTTTGACTTGACTTTTTATTCCTTCGCAGAAGAATGTGATGCATGTGAACAAGACTTACCCACACATGATCGTTCTTCTTAAACGCATCTGTTATTAACTGAGCTTGTGTTTTCTCCCTGTTTGCGTTGACATTATGGACAAGAACTCTATTGCATATCAGATGGAGTTGACACTTTTCATGGTCGTCCTCCTGTTTTGGGTCACCGTGTGTGCGGATGACAGTAAGATCATTTCAGACCGGTATGGTGTGTACTGGAACAGCACGAATCCCAGGTAAGAAACACCTCACTACATCAACTGCATGACTGGCAGGTTTTACCCGAGATCTTTAATACTACAATCAGGGCAGAGCTGTTTTGAACTTTCTCCATTTGTGGTCATTTTTCAGTTTGACCTTTTTATACAAATGTTTTTTTTTAATATACCTATATTAAAAAAAAAAAAAATAATAATTTATGTTTTATACAAATATCTAGGTGATTCAATTTGGGAAGCGTTTGTGACACACTAGAAAAAAAGGCTTTTATAAACAACATGTATTTCAGCTTAAACAATAGATTGAAATAAAATTTTAACTTTTTTACTGTGACATTTTCTTCATTTAATGACATTTTCCTAATTTTAAATAGTTTAAAATGTTGTAAATGTCCTGCATTATGCTCGTCCTCTACCTAGACATTTTAATTTCCCCTCTGTAATAAAATGTACATTTTACTTTGCACTTTCCCCCCAAGAATCTTAAAAAAAAAAAAAAAAGTGTCAAATTACGTGAAAGATTCAACATCGCAATATTGTCATTACCATCTCACTGATTAATATAGAGAACAACTGAGTTTCCCATAAAAGTTTCTTACTAGCTATCTTGCAGATAAAAAGTCTGTATCCTTTTTTTTATTTATTATTTTTATATTATTATACATTTTAAAAAGTTAATTAATGACAGTGTATTTTGTGCTTACTCTGCATTTCTCCACAAACTGAAAAATATCATTACCGTCACACATTATTCTATTATACTGGAATCAACATGAAGGTTGGTCAGGGCTATGCTCAGATAGATATTGTAATACATTTTTTATTATAGATTAAACATAATTTGGAAATTAGTCAAAGGCATCCAACTGAAAAATCACCATATCTTTTATTTTACAAAAATATAAAAATATTTTTTTCTATGATCAGTTCTGGTACAAGTTACATAAAGTCACTTAACTCAGTCCGAAACATTCAAAGTCTTCCCTTTGGGTGTTTCATGTGTGATTTTCAAAACGCACACAAAAAGGTATCAACTGTGCACTCTTTTAACAACTTGTGTGTTCAATTTGAAAGTACTTATAGGGCTTCTCACAAAATCAGCCTCTCTATGAGCACATTGTAACTTTATGGCCTCATTTATTGTACGCTTACTGTTGGACACTTGGTGTCTGTTATGAGTTACTGAAGGCTGTATGCTGTGTTACATTGTGTGCCGTTGGTCTGCGGGGTTGATAATCACCCGGAATATGCTAATAAATGCATACTTTCATATCTTGTCAGCTTTTAAAGACACTGTTATTTTGTTTTCCATTCTTTCATCATGGATGTTCCTGAGGTGGGATCAGTACTCTAGACTTTACGTTTCATATCACCATATGGTTTAAATAGTCTAAGATGAAGCGCCCCTCTCTGAACACCCCAGCACCCCTCATCAGACCGCTCTCAGAGGCCGTTTCTGGCAGCCTGGCAGTCAAACTAATACATTACCTGCCACAGTTTTAACCAATATGAGTAATTATTGAGATGTCCACAGATGTTTGTTCACATCAGTAGTTCTGTGAAGAATTTAGAAAGTTTTTTTCAGCTTTAGATTTGTACTTTGTGCTGTGGATTGTTGCTTTTTGTACGTTTGTATGGAACGGGTTTTATGAAAAACAAAAGATTGGAAGTTAGAAGGAATCAGAAGATAATTTCACTTGCGACCTTCATTTTTTTTCCAGTTTATCTTAATGGAAAGAACAAAGATTTTCTGCTATTGAGTGTATAAAAGATTATTATTATTATTTTTTTTTTAAGAAAGAGAGCATAATTTTAGTCTTTGAAATGTTGATGGACTTGATTTGTTTTAAAAACGGTTTATGCATTACATAGAGTAATTTACAATAATATTTAATTTAAAAAATATATATATATTAGACCCATCCCATTTTTCCACCTGTAAGTTTGTGTCTGCTGTGTTATGTCAGGGCAGTGAAATGTTTGTTCAGCTAAACTGAGATGGGTCTTCCCTCTGTGTGTGTGTGTGTGTGTGTGTATGTGTTTGTGTGTGAGAGAGAGAGAGCTCAGGGAAAAGGCATCTCTATTATTAGGCTGCAGAGTGTTTTAACCCATGCTATTGATTTTACCGGTCAGCCTGTAGATCTATGAGATATACGTATCAGATCTTCCAAGTTTGGATTGTCAGAAACCCAGAGCAGATGTGCACTGTAGCTCTATGGATTGGGCTTGGTTGTTTGCAGCCCTGCGAACCTGAAATTAGAGTTTGAGGGCTTCATTGTGATCTGTGGTTTTCCAGCACGGCACCATAAAAGCCAGCGGTTCTGTCTGGTGTGGTTTGAATCAGGCCTCGACGGTTTGAGTCTGTTACGTGGCTCAATTAGGAGTGTGAGACTGAACTGACTTGTGCTAAATGACCTCAATCAGAGCATAAATAAATACACTGAAATACATTTCAGCTCTGTATGAGTTAAGAGGTGTCAATTTAACCCTTGTGGCTTTACGGTGAGCTCTCCGAGGAGGCTGGTGACTTAGAAGGAGCAGTTAGGGTGAAAAGTAAGTTTTCACGGAGGATAGATTGCCCGTGCAGCACTTTCGGACCGTTTCAGAACGGAACTATTTGCAATTTTAATTTTCAAGCGGCGCTTCTAATAGTTTCATTGAATCCTTGTGTTACATTAGTTTTAAGCCATTTAGCAGACGCTCTTATCTGTAGCGATTTAGATTTTAATTTCGTTAGTAAAAAGCAGATCTGCATGGCATGATTTTTCATGGATGTTTTGCTAAACATAGCAAAAGATACTTTTTGTTTCTTTTTTATTTATGTTGTCATTATTTTAATGAAATTATTAAAAAAATATTTTAATAAATTAATTAAAGAAAATATTTAATATATAATTATTGGATTTGTTGTTTTCCCTGTGCAGGTAAAAATATGCAATGTATTGTTTTTTTTTTCCTGCAATTTTTTCAACAGCTCTCTTTTAACATCCTGTTATGATATCCGTATGAGATGTTTTTTTTTTAATCCGCTATAATAAGAAACGATTGTACTTGCAGGGAAACTTCAAGCTTCTTGAAGAGAAACTTTCTTCTTTGTATGGTTTTATTTTGCTCGCTTTTTGTCAGTGTAATGGGTTCCTCAAGGTTATGAGGGATGTCTGGTGTCAGAGGACTCCTGTATGAGGGCAAGTCACAGATATGGCTGTATGGATCCTCATGGATTTTATTCTCTTAGGGTCATTAACCTCTGTTGTGATTAGAATGCCTGAAATGAATGACTTCAAGCCTGACCTTGGCTGCTCGTGTCAAACTTCAGCTCCTGTAGGTGGCATTGCACCATGTTCTGCCCCAGTTTAAGGATTCGTCCGCCATTTTGTGAACCCTCACACTTGCCTCTGGAATATGGTGCAAGCTGAAGACAAGAAATGGAGTGTGGGGTTAATTCAGTGATGCCATGAGAACTAACAATGAATTGCGTTTAAAAAAAAAAAAAAAATTATTTTATATTAAACTTAATTTTTAGGTTTATCTCCTGGGGCAGCATTTTGAAACTTTTATAAAATAGTTTAGTTACCGTTTTAATAATTATCTAGTTTAGTGTCGAAAAATCCATGTGCTAAATGTACTTAAATACTTTATTTTATTGACAAATTATCATTATAACAAAGCCTCTTGTTTTTCAGACATTGAATTTGTTTGCTCAAATAACAGTTATAGTTTTGTATCAAAATGTGTGCTGAATTAATTTAAATCTATTTTATTTCTCTATTTTATCTCTCTATGGCAAGTCATATACAGTTGTACCCACTGCCCAGTTTATTGTGCCTGACATTAATAGATTTTTCTGTTTTAAGCAGCACTTAGAGTTCAGTCAGCTTCCACTTCTTTGTTTGTACGTTCCTTCCGTATGTGTGTTTATAATTCATTTCAGGCAGCTGGAGGGTGCCAATTTACAGTCTACTTTCATCCAGACAAAAATACCTCAAATTTCACAATGCATGGCCGACTGTTTCTTCTGCTAGGACTGTGACCTGCCGTCCTGAGGGTCGAGGGAACAATTTTGCCTCTTTGTAGGAAAACACTCTGAGAGAAAACCCATTGTAACCACCGAATCGCCATCCATCCCGTGACTTATTGCAACTTTAGCATGAGATCGCCGTTTTGTTCGGCAGCTTAATCAAATTAACTCATCCATTAAAGTGTATAAATATAATCATTGTTTTTTTTCCCAACGACCCTCATCCATTAATACGCAGCAACTACAGTGAGGGAAAGCACTTAAACTGACAGCGCTCTGGGCGCAGTGAATTTGTTAGTTTGGAAATCAGATTACAGTGGGAATGGCGGTCAGCTGTGTCCACTTGCTAAAACAACAGTGCATCTTTTAAGATGGGTGCATGCAGTCACGCAGTCTCACTGGTGCTTCGTTTCTATAAGATTACGGGCTACTTCTGTTGGGGAACTGTAGGGAAAAAAATGAGGTCTATAGGTCTATAGGTTACTGAGGTCTATAGGTCAGTGGTTGTTATAGCTATAATGCTTCCATTCTGTTAGTGCTGTTTACAGCTGGACTTCAGATTCATCTGCTAATGATTATCAATGACAGTATGTTTCATGAAACCTTTTTTTCCCCTAAATACATAGACCAAAAAAGGGAATGGAGCCCTCGCCGGCAGTGAATAATGCAAATGGTCTAACGCCATATTGCATCAAAAGGCTCTAACATGTAATTAAAGATTAAAGTCACGGCGTGGTTTCAACAAAAAACGTCCATATGAAAGAAATTTTGTAATCAGTAATCTAGGTTCAAAGTTGCGTTAAATAAAATGTCCCAGAATGAGTTTCATCGGCGTATTTTATTTCACCGGTAATCAAAGTTATATTACCACAGGTTGAAATAAAACGTCCCACTATGTCAGTCACTGAATGGTGAGAAATGGTTGTGCTTCTCTAAATTTGAGTAGCATAACCCTCTCTGCCATTATCTGCACTGTCCTGCCCCCCACCCTGCGACAAAA